ACACAAAAAAGATGAGTATAACGTTACACAAGGAAGTATATCCGCCGAAAAGGCATTCAGTTTGATGTAAACTAGTTGTAGAATCCCAGTTTTTACTGCCGTGGCAGCTCATCCAGGCCCGCAAGGCCTATATTTCGATCGCGTCAAAAAAAAGACCTATATTTCGACCGTACCAATTCCAAATATGAATCGCCTACGAACGACGTCTAGCGAGTCGGCCCAGTTGTGCCGATTTGAACACTAGGGGGAGATGTAGGTTCGTTCAGGTCCGGATTTATATAGGGTTTTTACTTTTATTTTTTCTTTGTTTTTCACCAGTATTCTGGGTTTTCCGTTTTTAACCTTTTGCTTTGGTTTTCTCTGTTTTCTCACTTGGTTTTTAATTATTTCTTTGATATACTTTGCTATTTTATTTGTTTCATCATTTTTTTGTTTTCTTTTATTATTTTTGTTTTTTTGTTTCTCTGTAGGTTTTGACCAGTTTTAGTTTTTCATCGCATGTATACTTTTTCATCAGTACATAATGTATATTTTTAGAGCACACATGAAACATTACATGTTGGTCATTTTTCAAATACATGACGTGTATTGTTTTAAATACATACTCCCTCCGTCCAAAAATACTTGTCGGAGGAATGGATGTATCTAGATATATTTTAGTTCTAGGTACATCCATTTTATGCATTTCTGCGACAAGTATTTTCGGACGGAGGGAGTATTTTGAACACTTCTTTGAACTAGTAAGCGTGCACGTGCAACGCACGTATAACCCTATGACAAGAAAACAAAAATGCTCCAAAACAAAAGTGATTAAAGACCGGACAGTTGACTGTCTAGGGTTACATCTAGCATTACGTCTAATGCCCTATCACTACAATCAACCTATCATTGGCTTCATCAACAAGTTCTGGCCCACTATGATGCCACTTAAAAAGTTGACGTCTGTCTTGCGGAACAACGTATCTACCTTCCAGACTCACGCAGATACATGATAATTGTACTGCCAGCTTCTATTACCTCGTTACTATGAGGTATAGGTTGTATGCCCTCCATGTAGTTTGCATACAAAAGAAGGCATTAACCAGCACCATGTAGGAGAGATGACATTCAGAAGCATTTATGTAAGAACCAGTCCAAGGAAGCTTGCGAGCACCTTCAATATACTTTGGAACCTTGGCTGTTGCAGCATTCTCTTGTATCTTGTATTTTGATTTCCTTACCAACACTTCTTGTATATATCCAATAAGATACCAGTAGAACCATCTATCACAGTCACGCACACACCCATCTTTTCTTTAAATGCATATGTACCAAGAAATATCTGCGATCTGGTAGCATACAGCTTCACCTCCTCACATCACCAGAGCATTAACGCTCTAAACTCATGTTGAAACACCACAACCGAAACTCAGATGTCTTTCCACGTCTGGTTCATTCAGGTTTAGGAGAGCATAGTTCTGTTGATAGAGCACAACACAATTTTGGTCCTATCTTTTTATTTCAAAACAGAATGTATGTTTTGAATTATCACCAAGTCAGAAATTAGAGAAGAGTAATAGTTATGCAAACAACCTAAATACATGGGGGATTCCTCTATACACATCCCCAGAAAGTACCATAGTAACCATCTTGTGGTAAAGTGCAGCTGTATATTTTGTCTACACCCCAAGGAAACAATGTCATTTTTTAGGTGCAGCTGCATATTCCTGTTGCATATTTTTCACATACACAATCTAATCAGACTATCAGGCACTCAATTTTGAGTGAACAAAACATTCTCATTAAGCGATTAAAAGTTTATCATGATATCTATGGTATAATAAAATAAACAAACCAAATACAAGCTATATATATGATTACTGAAAATAGTTGTTTGCTATCAAGAAAAGTAATGGTGTTGCAGCAAGATGATCTGAATGTAAATCAAATGGAGCCGAATGCTGAACCTACTTCTTGCGGCTAGCTCGTCTAACAATGGAATATGAGTAACCCATTTGTATGAGAAGACAAGTGAGTCAGAACTCTCGTGTATTCACATTGAGCGATTACATGGGTTTATATACATGCATGTCCAACGATTGAGCCCTATCTAATCATGATAAGCATGAGGATCGTGCGGAGTGCTACGGCCGTTGCGGAGGCAGGCGGGCGGGCGCCGTACATGGTGATCGCTCCTGAAGACTCGGTGCAGCCGGTGGAGTGGGAATCGTGAAAGGGGTTCCAACAGTATGCACTACCTTATTGCAGTAGCTAAAGGGGCCTGTCCCCCACTCGCTCATGTCATCGGCTATCAGCTATCAAGGATGATGAGATGTATCATGTATGCTCTTAGCATTACTAAAAAAAGGATACCTGAACGATAAGATGTATTCTCTTAGAATTACTCAAAATCAAAGGGTCCACTTTTAAATTTCCCAACATCTGAGTTGGAACTTTATATCTCTAATTATCCTCTACTAAAAAAACATGTCAATTACTCGCAAAACCTGCCATCACCAAGACATCAAACACTTGCAGCATAGAGCATCGTATCTACCATTATATATCATCGGCTCGTCTCATGTTGCCTAAATCTACATGGACCAATCAAATAGATAGCATATGAAAGGCAAAACTGAACCAGTTCAAACAAAGGCAAAGAATCTTCAGGCTCTGTACCAACAATGGGATTGCTCCTATTTTTGATAGGCTACAGCCATGGAAAAGATGCAGCCGATGGGCGGCCCGAAGATGATGTTGACTCGGCGGCCGGCAGTGGGGAGGAGGCCATAGAGAAAGGTGGCGGCATGAGGAACACGAGAGATAAGGTAGGTGGTGTCAGGTGTGGTTGTAAGATGCATAAGCTTTCAGGGACACTAATAAATACAAAAACGGTGCTAAGATGCTTCATAATTTACATTCATCTGCCTACATGATTCTTCTCCTAGCATGTTATGAGTTTGTGAGAAAAAACAGACCCAAAGAACAATGCGGCATTAATGGCACAAGTTTACATTTAGAAAGGGTAAAGGTTTCAGTTTCATCAGGGAATATATCTATTTCACGATCGACTGAAAACCAATTAGCATTCATTCAATTTTTCCAGCTAGTAGAAGATTCAAAACTGTATGTATGACTCGTGTACTGTATGTCCTGTGTGGACAACCCCAAAAAAAGGACTGAAAATGGTCAGCTTCATTTAAATTTGAGACCAAATGAAAAGCTTACAACTATATGTATGACAAAAACGTAACATGGTCTGCATGTCAGTTCTAAAGGATCTTAAAGCTGATTTCTTTGTAGCCCATTTACAACCGGACATACAGCAACTTGTGCATATACCGACACTAATTCCCATACAATCCTGGTTCATGCAAATTTAAGAAACAAGATATACAACTCCATTTCAGAAATTTCAGTACACCTAGAAAATACTGTAAAACATGTATAGCCAAATAGTAAGTCATGAGTATTTCAGTAGTAAATCATGTGCACTGAAATCGTGGATGCTGCCAAAAAATGACACCTGCTTGTGTCGAGATAATCTATCATCTTTCAAAAAGATATTGTATCATGTTAACTCTTAAATCCACTCACAACCATAAGGTGCAGTAATCTAAAGCCGAACAATGCGTTAAATCAGCTTTTCTAACAAAGCTCTATAACAGAACAAATTATGCACAACAACAATGTACAAAAGAAAGAGAAAACTCTAAACTGCTCTTTGGTAAATCGCTGCTCGATTGTAGGTTGCCTTTCACTTAAAGTTACCAAAGAAATGTAAAAGAATCAACAACAAGTTGTAACATAAATGATAGAGGAACAAACTGGAATTCTGTTGTAGAGCTCCGTATCTAAAAATGGGAAGCGAGGTGATTCTGGAAAAAATGGGAAGGGAGGCCCAATCAGTTTACTGAAAATCAAGAAATTGGAATTCTTTATTACAAATGCACTTCTGAAGAATGAATTGTACGACCAGTTTCGCAAAGGAGCTCATTTTGCCTAATATAAAAGTTAAACACCGGTATCTATAAAGTTTGTAGAAACTTTGCTCCATCCGAATTAGGATTTTCAATCATGAATTTCGTGAGCACATAGTAACCATGCACATGCAACGCATGTGTAACCATATGACCGAGGAATGCATTTTTTTCCAGCATCTTTACTCCATGTTTTATTCTAGTGCGTTAACTGATCATGAGCTCTTATTGTAGCGCGCTAACTGATCCTCTTACACATGGAATTTAATCACAACAACATTAATTTCATACAAATGTCGTTAGATATTACTGTATTAAGAACTGTAGAAATATATATTTTTAGCCATCAGGATCAGAAACTATACCTGGAATGCAGAATTGTTAGGTGACGCCTCCATAGCCAAATCATAGTCCCGCACTCTCGCTACTTCCCATAAGATCATAGTTCAGAAAGAAAAAATGTTCAGTCCGTTAAATGCGGCCTCAAACCTTACAGACAAATCTGTTAACAATCAACTAAATTCATGTTAACAAAAGAAAAAGTCTTACATCTCTATCAACAGAACTTGGGAGCAAGCATGAATCTTTGGCCACTAATAAATATGAACTGAAAAGATAGTAAATCAGTACAGGGGAGATGTAACCTTGAAGAAGATGCTGAATCAGCTGTGAAACAACCCTCTTGTATCCTCTGTATAACCCAAAAGTTCTGTAATAGTCACATAGAACAAATATCAAACATTTGGTGTGCACTAACAAATATAGTTAACCATCAGTTTCTGTACGTTCATAAGGATATAAGTTCAATCAGTCTGTTACTTCTGATCTTATGAGCTGAAGAGTGGCGCACAGAGCTGAAAAGACCAATTCCGTCAGCAACAGAGCCACTGAATAGGCATCCGACGAACGCTCCCCCAAACATATGCTCCCCACGAAAATCGGCAGCAAAACGAACGGAATGCGCCCAAAGGGGATCGACGGGGCTGTCGCACGGACCTGGGTCAGCAGAGGAGAACGGCAGGCGGCCACGGTGCCCCACGCTCATGTCCGTGGGGCAGCAGAGGTGGAGCGGACGATGGTGCCGGAGACCCTCGCTTGCATCCATGAGGCGGCAGAGGAGAGCGGCAACCGGCGGACGGCGGCATGTGCTCGCATCCTTGAGGCGAGGAGGAGCGGACGGCGGCGACTGAGTTTTGTGTTCGCGTCCGAGCAGTAGCAGAAGAGGAGCGGACAACGGCGACGTCGATCCACGCTCGCGTCCATGGGGCAGCAGCCAGCAGAGGAGGAGCGGTGGGCGGTGGCGGCGATCTGCTCTCGCGTCGGTGGGGCAAGAGGAGGAGAGACGGCGTGTTGTGAGGGAGAGAGAAGATTACGGGATAGAAATCCCCTATCCCATTAATTGAGGACGAAGGAGGAGCGTCTGCTGGCAGAACATTTAATCTGCATCGTTTATTTGTGTGACAGACCCCTGATGTAATATGGATTGTTAGATATGATTTAGTTGGACTAATCCAACGTTTCTGGTGATTCTGTGTACGCTTTATGATGTGTCTGTTGGGGAATTCATGTTTGCTCTTTTAATAGTAGTATAGATATAGATTCATGAGAAAAATCCAAATACAGGTTTTATGCTTTTTTTAATTCAAATACACATTTTTTTTCTGAACTACAGAAAGAATTTTTGCAATGTACAAATTTTTTTGGTAATTTCGCGGACAATTTTTTATGGAAATGAACATTTATTACATTATGCAGACAATTTTTTACATTGTACATGCATTTTATAAAAGTTTGTGGGCATTTTATTAAAACACAGGAATATTTTTTATATTGGCGTCAACATTTTGGCTTCAACATTTTATTAAAATTTATCAAAAAATTAATAAAATTGCACTGAAAAATTATACTTGGATAATATTTTTCGAATGCATGATTAACATTGTTTCAAATACATGTTTTGATTACTACTTTTTTAGGCACATTTAAAAAAATCATGTGCATCAGCAACAATTTTATTTACACCATTTACATTTTCTAGAATACATGGTTTATATTTTTTGAATGTGCAATGAACACTTTAAAAAATTAAAGGAAAATAGGAAATGAAAATAATTATTAAAAAAAGTGACGTCAGCGCTACTGGGCCAGGCCACGAATCGGATGCCTTCAGGCGAGGAAAGCTACTGCCTAGCCTAGCGCAATCTCCTATTTCGCTAGGGTTATATCTCGCTTATAGGGAGATGCACCCTGTCCTCGCCTGAAGCTTTGTCGTCTTTGCTACAGTACAGATCGTAGCACTTTTTTCATTGCGTTGCCGCTTTCTGATTATACCAGTTTTTTTACGTTTTTTAATTTTTTTCCCTTGGTTTATTTTCTTTCTTCTTCGGTTTTTCATCTTTTCATTTCTTGTTTCTATCAGTCTTTTCTCCATTGACTTTTTTCTTTTTTCTGTTTTTTTTCGGTTCTCATTAGGCTTTTTCAATTTCACTGTGTTCTACTGTTTTGCGTCAACTTCTTCCGTTCACTTCATCTTTTTTCCTCTTTTCTTTGGTTTTCTTTGTTTTTTTCAGTTTTCATTGGTTTTCTTTGTGGGTTTTTTCAACACATGTCTACTTTCTTTCACACACAATGTACATCTTTCCTATACACATGTGAAACTTTTTTATACATTTTTAACATTTTTTAAATACATGATTAACTATTTTCAAAATATATGTTTCTATGTCTACAGTTTTCTCATAAAAGTTGTACTTTTTTTGTACACATCTGAAACACTATTTTATATATATATATATATAATATACATCATAAATGTTCTTCTTTTATACAGATATTTTTTCGTATTTCTTATCCAGGTTTAGCATTTTTGAAGTGCATGACTAACAATTATTCAAATTTTTGTGTAAAGTAACTTTTATAATACGTATGTATAAAATATTTTGAAATATAAAACAAGTAAAAATGAAAGCAAGAAAATAAAAATAAAATGCAAAATAAACAAGTGCTTAAGGCTTATGGACCCCTAGCGCGTTGAGCTGTCACATTTTTGCCCGCTTCAAGCAAGACCTTGTTCGGCCTTGCTACAAGCGACACATAGTCGTGCCCCTCCTATTTTGCGCGTTGGGCACTGGCAAACGAGCCAGCGAACCCGCCCCTCCCCTCCTCCCTCACCCTTTTGGGTCAGTCCATGTGCGGGCGCCCTGTTTCTTCATTTCATTTTTTGCTTTTTTAACTTCTGTTCCTTTTTTCTTTAAATAATTTGGGATTTCAAAGAAGTTCCAAATTTATCGAAAAAATTGTGAAAGGCTTGTGAAGAGGAGAGGGAAAAAAGCTTGCAAGGGTTCGCCTTGCACAAGTGGAGGATTAGGCACGCAACAAGAAAGGGAAACGGCCCCGTGTAATCCAATTGAAAGTTGGGTTGTGCTATTGTTTGAGAAGTATGTCATGAACTTGCGACAAGAAGGGAAAATGGCCATGTTGACTCAAGAAGGGGAAATGGCCCCCTGTGACTCAATAGAAACTTGAGTTGCGGGAGAAGTATGTCGTGAACTTGAGTTGTGCTTTGTGTCATGAACTTGTGGTATCTGTCATGTGTTATGAACTATGTCAAGAACTACTTGTCTTATGAACTTGTCTATTTATGCATTATTTCATTAACTTGTGATGAACTATTTTGCATCAAAAAATATTTGTGTGTGATGAACTCTGAATTATTTGAGTCATACGTCATGAATTACTTGTGTGAACAAACTTATTTGTGCTCCAAAATCTTAATGCCAAACTAGTCGGCGGTAGTTAGTAGGACCCTACCGAAAGTCGGTAGGCCCTCAAATTTTAGTGAAATGGTATTGGACCTCGCGTGCTTTTTTTTTGAGGCGTTAGGGCATGGGACCCTACCACCTAGGTCCCTAGCGGTAGGCCCACAAATTTCAGGAAAATGATACTAGAGCTTGCTTATGTTTTTTGGGGAAGTAGGGCATGGGACCCTGCCGCCAAGGTCCCTGGCTGTAGGCTCTCAAGTTTTAATGAAATGGTATTGGAACATGCGTGTGTTTTTTGGGGCCTTAGGGCATCTCCAACACCGATCCTCAAACCGCCCTGCATACATTCGAGCCACGTTGTCCAAATGTGTTGTGTCAACCAACGCGGGCCTGTATTGGTCCGTCGAGCGGTTCGGATGTACTTTCTCCAGTAAATAGAGACAAACGTGAGGGGGCTTTGCGAGCGTCTGGACCGCTGCCACGCCAGCCCCTGACAGCCCTCGCCCACAAAAAACCCTCCCTCGCCTGTGCGCGCTTCAGTGCCGCTCTGGAGCGTCGACCCCACATTCATGCCCGGGCAGAGCGGGCGCGGCCTCTCTTTGGCGCCGGCATTGAAGCGGCGTGCTGGCCGAGAGACTGCCGCCAGCGCCGCTTCCCGATGCACGCAACTGCTCATCTTTCAAACGATCCCACGACCTTTCATCTGTCGCCACATTAATGACACGCAGTTGTCAAGGAACGTACTCCGGCAGCACCTGTCCGTAAGTCTGCCGCCCACCATTTCCATTCGCCTGCTATATAAACTGCAGCCCCGGCCATAGCCGCGGTCATCCACCTTTGGTCCCTTTCTCCTCTCCACACCACTCCCGCCATGGCTACCTCACACTCCAAAGCTCTCTACGATGGGCTGATACTGAAGCAGAAGAAGGTGATGGGCGCCATTGGACGCGGCAGACGATGAGCCGGGACCCACCCACCTCGTCGGCACCACTCTTGCGTGTTGCATTGCACCGTGACCATCGGCGAGGCATGTGCCCATTACATGGACATGGTGCGGGAGGAGCGGGAGAAGTAGTTCCAGGAGGCGTAGGCCAACGCAACCTACAACCTCCAGCTCCTCGAGGAGCACCAGTAGGTGGAGGAGAAGCTCGCCGCCAGCAGGGCGACCGCCCTGGACCGGGCGTGGCGGAGCAGGCGGCGCTGCTCGAGTCGTACCGCACCGCCCATGAGATTCGCCTCGAACGCTAGTGGTACCGCCAATGTCAGACGGAATCTGAGGCAGCCTACAAAGAGTTCGACGCGGCGGTGGACGAGGTGTGGGGCAAGACCGATGACGAGAAGGACATAGCCAAGGTCGCACACCATCGCCATGACCACGAAGTCGGCATGTCCTGGGGCATTGCCGGAAGCGAGGAAGAGTAGTGCATGGTAGGTCGCCGCCGCTTGGGCCCCAGGAAGGCCACCGTTCTTCCTCTCCGCCTGAAGCCAAGCTTGGCAGGTTGACAATCGTCGGCCTATTAGTTGCTCAAGCTGTGGAGAAGGGGGATGCAGAGGCAGAGCTGGAGAGCACCGAGGCAGAACTAAAGAAGGCGAAGGCAAGTGCCGGAGCTTCAGTTCTCAAGGCTCATGGCCGAATATGGGGAATGGGGACGACAATTATTTAGATTATGTTTAGAATAGAAGTATGTGTGAAATTATAACTCCGAATTCAGACGAGCTCCACTTTTAGTTGAAGTGTGTCTGAAATGTAATGCATTTAGTCCGGTTTAAAGAAATATGTTGTGTTTGCATAAATCTCTTCAGAATTTTAATAAAATTCGCCTGTTTGCATGAATTTCATTCGTTTAGTTTCAATAGTTGTTGAAATGTATGCGGACAGCGTTGGATGGCGGCCTCCGACTTCAGTGTCGATGGACTGGACCCCCTATCTACGGGCACATGCCCGAGAAAATTTGAGGGTCGGCATTGGAAATGCCCTTATGGCATGGGACAGTACAGCCAAGGCCACTAGTGGTAGGGCCTCGAAGGTTAGAGCATCTCCAGCCGCGCCCCCAACAAGGCCCCCCGGGCGACTTTTAGACCGCCGGCGCCAAAAAATCAGCCCAGTCGCGCCCCCAAGGGCCCTTTTTCGCCGGCTCGGGTCGAAATTGGCACCGGCGGACCCAACCTGAACCCGGCACACTGGGGGGCACCGGGCGAATCGTTTTTGGCACGAAAGCGTCGCGTGGCAGCCGCGTCGTGGGGCAGCCACGTCAGCGACACCACCCGCCTCGGTTTCCCGCGGGGAATCAATGGCAAGGCTGCCGCCGGTCAGCTTTCCCATTGATTCCTCTCACGGGCGGCGTGTCATGGGGCGGCGCGCCGACGCCTCCCCTCCCTCGGCTATATATGGTCTTGCTCGCTAGCGTTGGAGTGCCATCCCAGCCCTCCCTCTCCCCGCCGATCTCTTCTCCCTAGCCACTCCCTCTTCCCGATGGCCGAGCGTTTCCCCGGAGACGAGGC